GGACTTAAGAGATTACCTCAAGAGGAAGCAACAGAATGCCGAAGCCGAGGTAACCTCTCCAGATAAGCCAAGGACACCATTCTTGGTGGAATTAGACAGATTTGAGGTACCTAGAGAACAAAATAATTGTGTTAATAAATCAAATACTATTGAGACATCTTATAGCAACTCTACTAAAGGGGATTTCCAGTCTAAAAAAAATAAAAAATAAAAAAATCCTCAATTTGATCTTCATCACCTTCGAACTAAAATAAGTAGGATATGAGTTGAAAGATAAATAAAGTCTTCTCTCTTGTAAATTTCTCTCGTTTCCACACTACGACTTTAAAAAATAGAAAATAAAAACGCAATTCTTTATAGTACAAATTATTATAAAATCTCTTTAATTTTTATTTGACAAAAAAATATTAAAGAGATGACATTGCTTATAAATAATGTGTTTTGAATGAAAATTACTAAACATTCTTAACATACCATATAGCATTGCTTACGTGATGTTAAAAGTATGAGAAATCACACAGTAATATGTATGGTTAATTAATTTTTAAAATTCCTTTCAATTTTTTTTCTCTCTCTCCTCTCTTCTCTTTTTTTTTTTATTTTTATTATTAATAATAAATCAATCAATCACTTTTTCTATCTCTTCTCTCACATTCTATATCTCAATCAATTAAATTTTCTTTCACACATATAATCCAAAAAAAAAAAAAGATAAATAAAAAAATTCAAATCATCCTAAAATTATTTTCAAAACTTATAACCAAATAAATTTTTCAATTTTTAAAACTCTTATCAACCACTTATCTTTCAAAATACAACTCAAAACTCAAAATTCATTTCAAAAACTAATCAACCAAACGGAGCTTTATGCTGTGTTTGGTTGGGAGATTTAAGAAGGGATTTGAAAAAGAAAACAGAAAAGGTGTGTGAAACTATGTGAAATATAAGCATGTTTTATTCACATTTCACCTACCTTTTCCATTTCACTTTCCAAATCCCTCTCCAAATCCCCTAGCCAAACACAACATTAATGTCCTTCCAATAGGTTTTTTTACTTGCCATTGTTATTGAAATTTTCAAAAAGTTGTCGTTGATTTGTTATTTTTTTTCCCCACATACCATTGAAACCTAATTGGGATAAAAGAAATTCAATGCACTATGTTTGGTTAAATTTTGTCTTCTATTTTTTTTTTTTTAAAAAAAAAAAATTAGGATTGGAGAAATTCAATTCACCATTTTGGTTGAACTTTGTCTTCTATTTTTTCTATTAAAATAAAAAGTGGTAAATTGAATTTCTCTTGTCCTAATTTTTTGTAACTATTTCTAATGCTAATGTAACACTCCCAATTTTATTATTTTGATATTTTCATAAATTCATTATAGAAGTCCCTTTCCAAATTATAGTTATGGAAGTAAAACAAGCTGAATAGAATAATTAAGATCCACTCTCGCATAAATATTTACAATAGACGAACAACATTATCTCCATAACACGTTAATCTTTCATCTACAATCTCTATAAGAAGGACTCATAATGAAATAAATAATTCCTTGAACTTTAAACTAGTGTAGCTGACCCTGACAATATCATCCAATTCTTTGTAGAATTATTCCACACTTTAAACCTCCAACACAAATCCACCATGTCATATATATTTACACAATTCTGTAGCCAAACAACAAATATAACATAATTAACAACTGACTTCATTAAGCCAATCCAACGCAGTTTGCCAAATACTAATCAAAAGGAAAGTTGGAACCTATCTCAAAGCGCCACACTTTACTGGTAGTTAACCGGAAGGAATGCAGAACTTCTATAAAGTCCAACAGTCCATACGCTTTACCAGGCATTACTTCAGAAGGAAGGCAAAACCTCTATCAAGTGCCACGTTTTACCGGTCCCAAGATAGAAAGAAACGGGCCCTCTTACTGAGAAACAACCACAACCACTTAATCCAAACTCTCGAGCATAGTGTGTCATGGGGTATTCTGTTATGCTGAATTGGGTCACATCGGCGCAAAATACCAAATTAAGGGACTCAAGTGCCGTCCCAACAACCCCCATACCCATTCTTAAGTGATGATGCCCACATGCCCTTAAAAAAATCTCATCATTTTCCTCCATCAGATAGGATAGTCCACTCATGCGGCTCAAACCAAAGACCCCATTATTGAAAAGAGATCTGCAAACCCTGCATGTTCGCCATATCTGAGCCAAAGGTAAACGGTGAACTTCCAACACTAGTTTCAGCACATCCAAGATTTCATCTCTAAGAGCTGCTTCATTCTTGTCCTCAATCTGGTTTGTAAGTATTCGTCTGTGAGAACATATTCCTCATCATATTTACATAAGAAGCATAAAATACTAGATATGATATTGCATTACATACAGTTTGCCCACCTACTTCCATGAACGGGTGTTCCCATAGATTTAAACATTTCAGATCTAGCCCCTGCAGGGGAATGAAAAAGATGCAGCTGAGGAATCTTGAATACGTTGAAATATAGAATATTTGAGCGATAAAAGAAAAGAAAGCATATAAGAAACTCCAAATGGAAATGTTCATAGTCGGTAAATTAAGCACAGAAGGCATATAAATTTGTGCACGCTTTTCTTCTATATGAATATAATGAACTTTCCATTCCAATTTTGATTTATTCTTTCTACTATCAAAAATCATGTCAATAACAACATAAATGCATTATGTTCAGTCCTAAGAGGGTAAAAGATGATTAGTCCAAATTTCAAAGGGCAGGATGATTGAAAGTGAAGTACATCTTTAAGTCAACCACAATTAGCCTGTGAATGCTCAGTTGAATAAACAGCTTAACCCATGAAGTAACATCATCAGTATGAGTATAGTAAGAAACAGAGATAACAGGAGGTTAGATTACCCAAAAATAAACAATAAGAGGGGAGAAAATGACCTGTCCAAATTCACATAGATGTAATAAAACATCTCAAATGCATGTAAATTCATGAATGTCACATATTCATGAAGAAATAAAACATCACTACAAGAGAGTGGATATGGTAATTTTGTGGGAGAGGAGGAGAGGAGAGGGACAAACCAGAAAAGCGTCATAGGCACAACCTTCCTCCAAAAAAATTAGGAATGCATCTCTGGTGGTAAACAGTAGCTCAAGTACACCGACACAAGTATGGTCAGTGGGTTCAAACACGGGCAAAGCCAAAGTTGCTCTAATTTGGCAACGTAAAGCATGTTTGCGCTGTGGATACTCTTTGTTAGAGTAATACTCCACATTCGGAGAGGACTCAACCAATTGATGCTTGAATACACGGCCAGGAAGCCCAAGTTGTTGTTCAGTAGCCCCCCCATCCACGTAAAATTTATAGTCTTTAGAGATCATCCTATACCAACAAAGTCCTTTATATATTTTACTAAGAGCGAAAGGTTGGTTTTGGGTTGTAAGAATAGCCTTGCCGTCTGTTGTTATGGGTGCCCAATATTGAACTAGTAATGCATCAATTCTGGAACCGTTGAATACATTTCCAACCACACATCTGATCTTGTCTTTTAACTTCCACTTCGCCGTCGGACATTTGGGAATCAAATCCGAATTATCTGCTGCTATTAAATACAAAATTATCATGTCAAAAACCAATACCAAAACTTACCAACCACTCTTCTATTATGTCTATGGGATCAATCTTACATTTTTAGGAATGTTAAAATAATAAAATTGTCAATATTCATTTATTTATAAGAAAAATGATCCGGGACCCCCACTGCCTGTAATTGGTTAGTTTTTTGTTTTTTTTTTTTTTCCCTCCTCCAATCACCAACCCCCACGTGGGGGGTTTTGGGTGAGGAGAGGCAGTCTCAATCACTTCCTTATTTATAAATTCCTCCATGGATGACAAAATACCATAGAGCGAGCCCGTGTGTTGTGAACCTTTCAACGTCAATATTTAGGTTGTTAAATTTATTTAATATAAATTACGTAAATTACAAATACACCTCAGGAAATTTATTTAAAGTATAAATTGTTTTCTGTAATTTAAAAAATTATAAATAATTTTTCTGTCAGAATTTTTTATTTGACAGAATTAATTTAAAAAAAATTAACTACAATAATAAAATTATCAATTGAAATAAAATTTTAACATTATTAAAAATTGTTAATTAACTTAATAATTTATTAATAGAATGAAAATTTACCCATAAGTCCTAGTTTCTGAAAAGTTGAACCATTTAGTCCTAAAAGTTTTCTTATGCGCCATTTAGTCCCATTTGCACATCAATCTAATGTTTGAAATATTAATCTAATGTTCGAAATCTAATGTTCGAAACATTAATCTGATGTTCGAAATCTAATGTTCGAAACATTAATATGATGTTTGAAACATTGTAATAGAACCTTTAAAACTTTTAGAACTAAACAGTGTATAAGTTATTAATTTGGGATTTATTGGTGCATCCCCTAATAAAATAATTTATTTGTTATGAAATTAAAAGTTATGAGATATAATGTAATTTTTAAAATCACATAAAATAATTTATAATTTAAGTAACAGTTAGAATGTATTTGTAATTTACCCATATAAATAAATATTCACGTAATTAAGTTGTCAAAGGGTTCTAAAAATATATATATTTGCAAATTTTATTTCCTTAAAAAACAAAAATAAAAATAACGTACTCACCTAAAGAGAGAGGTTGGTCGTCTTCGTCTTCTGGGGTCCAGAAAACGCCGGAATTTCTACCCTCAGGTTGCCAAGATTTGATTTCCGTCTCCAAATCTCTATCTCCTCTTCCTCCTCCTTCATGGATACCACCAGCACCATGCGGCGGCAGCATCATCCCCCGTTCAGCAGCAGCGCAACGGCCCTTCTTCTCCTTCCCCTTCCAGAAACGTTTGGTTTCTGAAATAAAACAGAATGTCACATATTCATGAAGAAATAAAACATCATTAGAAGATGCTCACAGAAAATTTGTTTTTTTTTTAAAAAAAAAAGAAAAAGAAAAAAAAATGAGGGAAAAATGAAGGAAGATGCTCACAGAATTTGTTTTTCGCTCACAGGCACAAGCTTAAGCTTCCTCCGAAGCCCTCTTCTTCTCCTGCCCCTTCAAACAACCATTTTGGGTGCTAGTTCTTTTGTAGTGCAACAGAGCTTTCTCGAACTGGTTCATCTCTGAACTGATTCAAAGCTGCATCGGTTCAAATGGTTCAAGAATATTTTTTTTAGCAAGAAACTAGTGTTTAATATTTTGTTTGTATAAATTTCAACTTATTTTAAAATTTAATATTTTGATAATAATAATTTAATATTTTGATAATAATAGTATATGTTAGATTTTTTAAGAAATTTTTTTATGTTTGTTTTTAATGTATTAAAATTTTATTCTCAAAAGGCTTGATGATTGGAAGAAATTAATAAATTTTTTTTATACTTGTTTTTAATGTATTAAATTTTTATTGTGAGAGAATTTTGACTAAATCCTTCAAAAGGTTTGAGAATTGGAAAAAGTTAATAAATATTAATATTTTTTTCTAAATCAAAAAATTAAGATTAAGATATTAAAACTTTCATAAAATTTATGGATTAAAAACTTTCATTTCTTTATATAATATATAAATGGATGGGCATGTAAATACATTTTTATCTGTAATTAATGAATTGAAAAAGAAAAAAAAATTAAATGGGCCTAGTGAGTATAATTTTTCCAATCACTAAGGATTGGTTTGGCAAGTTTTAAAAAAGTCAAAAAGGCACTATCATATTTAAGTCAAATTATCTTATTTAAATCATATTATTTTTCTAATACATTATTTCAAACCCAACTCAAATTCAACTCATATTTCATAAAAAAATCAAAAAATATACTTATTTAATTGATCCCAAACAACCCTTTCAGGTTCCGAAGGCTTTATACGACAAAAGCTTAAGGTTCAACAGTTCAAAGAGTCATATTAGGCTCGAGGTTCAATAAATTTTCAAATCAGGTAGCTTTCAAATCACGTTTGGGTCCCACTACCTTTTTTTTAGTTTGTGAGGATTTATTTGGTGTTGTTAGGTAACTAATCATACTGTTTATTCAATCTGTGGTTGGCAGAAGACAATGGAAAAATGAGTTGTGAATTGAGGTTCAACGACAAGCCCATTATTGAGGTTCGATATGTATTTGTAATTTACCCATATAAATAAATATTCACGTAATTAAGTTGTCAAAGGGTTCTAAAAATATATATATTTGCAAATTTTATTTCCGTAAAAAACAAAAATAAAAATAACGTACTCACCTAAAGAGAGAGGTTGGTCGTCTTCGTCTTCTGGGGTCCAGAAAACTCCGGAATTTCTACCCTCAGGTTGCCAAGATTTGATTTCCTTCTCCAACTCTCTATCTCCTCTTCCTCCTCCTTCATGGATACCACCAGCACCATGCGGCGGCAGCATCATCCCCCGTTCAGCAGCAGCGCAACGGCCCTTCTTCTCCTTCCCCTTCCAGAAACGTTTGGTTTCTGAAATAAAACAGAATGTCACATATTCATGAAGAAATAAAACATCATTAGAAGATGCTCACAGAAAATTTGTTTTTTTTTTAAAAAAAAAAGAAAAAGAAAAAAAAATGAGGGAAAAATGAAGGAAGATGCTCACAGAAAATTTGTTTTTCGCTCACAGGCACAAGCTTAAGCTTCCTCCGAAGCCCTGTTCTTCTCCTGCCCCTTCAAACAACCATTTTGGGTGTGAGTTCTTTTGTAGGGCAACAGAGCTTGTTAGAAGGGTTCGTTTTTGAACTGATTCAAAACTGCATCGGGTTCAAATGGTTCAAGAATTTTTTTTTTAACAAGAAACTAGTGTTTAATATTTTGTTTGTATAAATGTCAACTTATTTTAAAATTTAATATTTTTATAATAATCGTATATGTTAGATTTTTTAAGAAATTTTTTTATGTTTGTTTTTAATGTATTAAAATTTTATTCTCAAAAGGCTTGAGGGTTGGAAGAAATTAATAAAAAAAATTTATGTTTATTTTTAATGTATTAAATTTTTATTGTGAGAGAATTTTGACCAAATCCTTCAAAAAGTTTGGAAATTGAGAAAAGTTAATAAACATTAATATTTTTTTCTAAATCAAAAAATTAAGATTAAGATATTAAAACTTTCATAAAATTTATGGATTAAAAATTTCCTTTTCTTTATATAATATATAAATAGATGGGCATGTAAGTACATTTTTATCTGTAATTAATGAATTGAAAAAGAAAAATAAATAAATTGGCCTAGTGAGTATAATTTTTCCAATCACTAAGGGTTGATTTGGTAAGTTTTTAAAAAGTCAAAAAGTTATCATCATATTTAAGTTACATTATTTATTTAAATCACACCACTTTTTTAATACATCACTTCAAATTCAACTCAAATCCAACTCATATTTCATAAAAAATTAAAAAATATACTTATTTAGTTCATCCATGCAAACCCTTTACATTATGGAAGCTTCATACCACAAAAGCTTAAGGTTCAACAGTTCAAAGAGTCATATTAGGCTCGAGGTTCAATGAATTTTCAAATCAGATAGCTTTCAAATCACGTTTGGGTCCCACTGCCTTTTTTAAGTTTGTGAGGATTTATTCGGTGTTGTTAGGTAACTAATCATACTGTTTATTCAATCCGTGGTTGGCAGAAGACAATGAAAAAATGAGTTGTGAATTGAGGTTCAACGACAAGCCCATTATTGAGGTTCGATAGGTTCTATGTAAAGTTTGGCCGAATAAAAAAAAGTGGGGTCAGCAAACACATTTTTCCCACCACTATGGGGTTTATAAAGTTATTTCTAGACTCTGATTGGAGTCCAAAAGGTTCATTCGAGATTGAATCTGGGTTAGAAAAATTTTTTAAAAAATGGGCCTAGTGAATATACAATTTTGCCAACCACTTACGAAGGGTTCATACGACAAAGCATTATGTTCAATAGTTCAAACAGCTCTACTAAATGGTTCATGTTAGGCTTAAGGTTCAATGAATCTGCAAATCAGGTAACTTGCAAATCACATTTGTTGTGTTCACACTCCCTTTTTCAAGTTTCCTTGTGAGGATTTATTTGGTGTTCTTAGGTGTTCATTCAATCTGTGATGTTTGTCTTTTTATTTTTTAAAATTAACATAAAAATAATATATTTTTTATTATTTTA